CTCCTACACTGAGCATCAAGGTAATAGCTCTCCTTGTAGCAGAAGTATGGAGGATTTTAGAGATTTTATACTCAGCTGCAATTTACTAGAACCCACCATCAAAGGCAGCTTCTTCACCTGGATGGGTTATAGATCTAAAGGGAGGGTCTTACGTAGGCTTGACAGGATCCTTATCAATCAAGAATGCTTGAACAGTTTTAGTGATATTTATCTTCATCACCTTAGCAAGACCTCCTCTGATCACAAAGCCCTACTTTTGGAGTGCATTAATTCTACTTATAAAGGACCCAAACCCTTCAGATTCATTAATGCTTGGACTTTGGATCATAGTTTTTATCTAATGGTAAAAAATTATTGGAACTCTATCTCTAATGGTAGAGGAATGAGGGGTCTAGCCAACAAGCTCAAGGGTCTTAAATTCTGCATTAAGGAATGGAATGCTAACCATTTTTGCAATATTTTTACTAAAGTCAAGGAGGCAGAAGATGCAGCTATTAAAGCACAGGAAAGGTTTGAATCATGCAACACAGATGATAACAGAGAGGCCTTTCATCTAGCAAATGCAAACCTTCTCAAGGCATGCAAAACTGAAGAAAACTACTGGGCACAAAAGGCAAATATCAAGTGGCTAGCTAGTGGTGATGCTTCTACCAAATATTTTCAATCTCTTGTTAAAGGAAAAAGAAGGCAAGCTAGCATCAGAGAACTTAAAGACCATTTAGGGAAGGTGCTGCTAGATCCAGACCTTATTGCTAATTACATTTCCAATCATTATGAAGCTACATTCTCTGAGGACTATATTGGGAATCTGGGGGACATCATTGCTAACATTCCAACTGTTATTAATGACCTAGATAACTAGTGTATCACTACTCTCCCTCTCGAAGAAGAAATCAAAGCAGCAATATGGCAACTCAATCCCAATAGCTCTGCAGGTCCTGATGGTTACAATGGAGAATTTTTCAGACACTTTTGGGATATCATCAAGGCAGACCTTATCAGTGCCACTCATGAATACTTTCAAGGCATCCCCATTCCCATGGCTTTTGGAAGTACTAATATCACTCTTATTCCCAAAGTGGAAGGAGCTAGAGAAATTGGTGACTACAGACCTATTGCTCTATCTACCTTTTTTAGTAAGATGCTGTCCAGGATTATGGCTAACAGACTTGGCCCTATGCTTAATAAAATAATCTCTCCTGAGCAAGCTGGTTTTCAAAAAAGGGAAGGTATTGAGGAGCATATCCTTCTAACCAATGAACTGATGCACAACCTAGACTCTAAGGTTAGGGGAGGTAATGTTATGATCAAGCTAGACATGGCCAAAGCCTTTGACAAGATCTCCTGGAACTTCCTTCAGGCCATCCTTCAAGCTTTTGGGTTTAATGAACAAAGCATCTGTCTCCTTCTCCAAAACTTAAGGGCAACTTATATGTCTGTTCTAGTGAATGGGAAACCCAATGGGTTCTTTAAAATCAAGAGGGGAGTCAAGCAAGGTGATCCTCTTTCCCCTCTCTTGTTTATTATAGGATCTGAGGGTTTTGCTAGAAGCTTAAATCATGCCATCAATTCTGGATACATCTCCCCTTACAAGGTGGGAAAGACTAGAGTGGTATCCCATCTTGCTTTTGCAGATGATCTTATTATCTTTCTTAAGGGAGACCTTAGGAATATCCTAAGATTCAGACACCTTCTGGATAGCTATCTTAAGGCTTCAGGACAGGAGGTTAATAAAAAGAAAAGCAGGATTTTCTGCAAGAAAGGGAGCAGAGGTTTATATACTAGCAAGCTGGATGATACTTTAGGGTTTAAGGTGGGAAACCCTCCTTTCAAATACTTGGGTTCTACTATCACTCAGGGTAAACTCAAAAAAACTCACTGTGATCATATTCTTCACCATTTTGATGCTTATATCAACAATTGGTATAGTAAAGAGCTTAACCCTATGAGTAGACTCATTCTTATCAAGCATGTCCTAAGTGCAATTCCTATGCATACCCTTGCTGTCCAAGATCTTCCTAAATCCATTATTAGGACCATACATGGCAAACTGGCTAACTTCTTCTGGGGGAGCAAGCAAGGAAGGAACCATTACCATTGGGCCAAATGGGGCACATTAACTAGACCCACTGGAGAGGGAGGTCTGGGGATCAGGAACTTGGAAGATATTCAGAAAGCCTCAGCTTTAAAACTTTGGTGGAAGTCTCTTACAGGGAATTCTCTCTGGGCCAGATTTATGAAGAACAAATATGCAAGGGAAGGAACTTTTGAGGCTAAGATTTATGACTCTGCTTCTTGGAAAAGAATCTGTAGAATCTCTCCTATCGGTCTACAATTCACTACAATTACCAACCAGAATGTTTGCTAGGTCAATGGTAATTTCTCCTTCAAAGAAGCATATTGGGCTGTTAGAGAGAGGGATGTCAGCACTCAAATCAACACACTGACTTGGAATAAGTTCCAAATCCCTAAAATTAAGCTCTTCACTTGGAAAGCTCTTAACCAATATTTACCCTTCCCTAATATTCTCAACAGACTGTCCTATAACATGCCTAGCAAATGTCCATTTTGCAATAACAATGAGGCAACAGATTCTCACATTTTGCTTACCTGTGATTTATCAAAGAGTATCTGGAAAGACTTTGCAGATTATACTACGGGGCCCACCAGGACTAATGCGATGGATCTTAGGGAATACATGTTGGAGTGGTGGCTGTCACATAGCAAAACATCTCTAAGAGGATTATTAAGGTTAGTTCTACCTGGCTGTATCATTTGGAATCTTTGGAAAGCATATAACAGAAGCATCTATGAAGACACAATGGAATCGAGGATTGGGATAACCATTGAAATCCAGAAAATGATTCAACATTGGGTATGGTCCAACAAGAAAGTACAGAAGATTGCAAGCAAGGAGGAAATTAATGCTCTTAATCTCAAACCTTACCTCTCCAAGGACAAATGAATGCCATGGACGTTGCGCTGCAGATCAAATTAGGAAGCTGCTTCAGAGTTAGAGGCAGTCGACTAGGCTCGTCTTTCTTGTATTTGCTCTTTCTAAGTATATTGTTGTATCTCTTACTTTTGGGGCTTCGGTCCAGTCCTCCCCGAACGTGTTCGCATCTTGTTTTATAAATTTGGTAAGGCAGCTTGGACCTTACCCCACTGATTTTGGTGGTTTTTTTTCCGGGCAAAAAAAAATGTATATATACGTTTATGTATATTTTGGATATACAAAAAATAAATGTTATATTATTTACATTGTGTTAATTATATGATAATTAAAGTTGACAAAATAAATTGGAAGCTTCCTTAAAGTGCCATTAGAAATTTTCCTAAGTAGAATAGGAATGGGATTTGATTTCTTTCCTAAACTCTAAAAGGTACAATCCTATTAGGAATAGGAATGGAGATTATGCTCCTTATAAATAGGAGATCATCCCACCCCTTTTAGACTACTAGAAATTTCGGCCCTACCATAGTTTTAAGAGAGAAAATTTTGTTTTGTTCTCTTAATACTTTACACCAAATATTTTATATTTTAGAAATATTCTAGAGAAAAATTACTAGCATAATTTTCTCTAGAACACTCTTCGTTGTTCGTGTGTCTCAACTGGAGGTCATATACTTTTGTGGCTAGCTCTTGGATCAATCCATCAACCTACACATATCGTTGCTTGCTCGCCAAGAAAGGTATACTTCTAAACAATAACTTATAATAATCATAAGAGGTCCTGGGTGAATCTACGTTTGGACATCAAAACATTTGTTTTCCGCTGCCCTATCCAAGCGTAGAACCCAACATTCCCTTCATAATATCTAGCTTAAACCTTCCCTCTGCAATTATTAATTTGCCTTTATACTTGTAATTATTCAATTTGTTGCTTGAGGGCAAGCAACGTTTAAGTGTGAGGAATTTGATAAGTCCGTTTCGTTCTTATCATTTACATCATATTCTAAACGTTATTGCACTTAAATAATATTTTATCATTTCATAAAATGTGATTTCAATGAATAAAATCCTCATTTTCGTTCTAAAGAGTCACTAAAAGGGATTCCACATAAAGTTATCATAAATAATCCATTTTATGTTCAAATACTTGAGGAAAAGGAATAAATCATCAAAGGATCAAGATTTAGGCTTGAACGAGCCTCCGGGAGGATAAAATCGACGTTCGGGCAAAAAAGGAGCAAAATTGGGCCAAGATCTCGCCCCAGCCGCGACGCCCAAATGGACCAGGGCTTAAGGTGTCCAACTTGGACGCTTGGCCAAGTTGGACGCTTGGGAGTTGGACGCCTTGGCTGGATTGCGGTCAAAGGAAGACCTGTGGCAAAACCTGGTTGGCCGAAGCAGCTCAAGCGTCCCGATCTGGACGCCTGGACTTGGACGCTTCTACTTGGACGCCTTAGCCTCTGTCCTATAAATACAGCGCGATTCACCCCATTCCACCAATCACTTTCAGTCCCATTCTTGGGATTAGCACTTTATACTTCAGTTCCAAGTTCTAGTTTATCATTATATTAGTTTTAGAATTATTTTTGGAGAAATTCTACTCCCGGTCTGTTCAAATCCGCTTGTACGGAAGTTGTAAGTTTCTTTTATTTAATAAAATGCTGTTTTAATTTGTGTTTGCATAGTATGAGTTAGGGTCTGGATCTTTGGGTCCTGACTAGTTTGGTTGTTGATTTTTGGAATTAAATTAATGTTGGAATGATTAATCTATTGTTCTTACCTTATTTGGTTAATTAAACTCGTAAGATTTAATTGGCCATTTATTGAGAAAATATTATATGCCAAATGGCTATGATATTCAAGTGCAACAGATTAAGTACAAATCTAGAGATGGATGAGTAGTAATAGAAATATTATTATTCCAAATGTTAATTTAATATGATAAAATAGATCCAAATGATGTCCAGACCATAGGTCAGATCTATACTTATACTATGTGAAATTTATTTATTATTTTTACTCCGCTCCTTCTATATTCGTTCCGAGAAGACTTTTATAAACCAATCCTAATCTTCGCCTAATTAGAGTAATTAAACTGATTCCCTTCGTCCACTCCTCGAGAGATACGACACTCGGAGAGAAAATTATCCCTTTACTGGGGAGGTTTACTACCCAAAAAATTACGATTGTCAGAAGGGTTCCGAGTGTCTGGATGGTGACTTTAGTTTGTCCATCGGTTTGGGGGTGGCTTGACGTACTAAAATTGAGTTTAGTACCCAACTTTCTCCTTAGGGTCATCTAAAAATGGCTAAGGAATTTCGTATCCCTATCCGAGACCATGCTTCGGGGAACGCCATGGAGTTTCACAATCTCTCGGAAGTAGAGATCAGCCACTTGGGATGCATCATAATTTGTCACACATGGTACAAAAGGAGCCATTTTTGAAAAACGATCCACCACGACCATGATGGAATCCTTGCCACGTTGTGACCTTGGCAGTCCGGTAATGAAGTCTAGGTTCACGTCTTCCCATGGCGCAAAAGGCACAGGCAGGAGTAGGTGTCTTCCTTGAGGCAGCGAATGGCTCTTGGCAAGATGGCAAGTGTTGGGTTCTACACTTGGATAGGGCAGCGGAAATATAAAAATTTTGATGTCCAAACGTAGATCCACCCAGGACCTCTTATGATTATTATAAGTTATTGTTGAGAAATATACCTTTCTTGGCGAGCAAGCAACGATCTGTGTAGGTTGATGGATTGGTCCAAGAGCTAGCCACAAAAGTATATGACCTCCAGTTGAGACACACAAACAACGAAGAGTGTTCTAGAGAAAATTATGCTAGTAATTTTTCTCTAGAATATTTCTAAAATATAAAATATTTGGTGTAAAGTATTAAGAGAACAAAACAAATTTTTCTCTCTTGAGTTATGCTATGGCCGAAATTTCTAGTGTGTTCTAAAAGGGGTGGGATGATCTCCTATTTATAAGGAGCATAATCCCCATTCCTATTCCTAATAGGAATGTACCTTTTAGAGTTTAGGAGGGAAATCAAATCCCATTCCTATTCTACTTAGGAAATTTCAAATGGCACTTTAAGGAAGCTTCCAATTTCTTTTGTCAACTCTAATTACCATATAATTAACACAAAATAAATAATATAACATTTATTTTATATACACATATATACGAAACATATAAATATACATACATACATACATACATACATACATACATATATATATATATATATATATATATATATATATATACACGCCGAACACACACACACACACACACATATATACATATATATCTTTACGCACACACACACACACACACACATATATATATATAATTGTGTTATATTTTGTTCCTTAAATAATATTTGACAAACTTAATTATCATATAATTAAAATGTCCAAATATTAAATATATATATATATAAATATATATTTTGTGCCTTAATAATAATACTAAAATAATAAACAATTTATTATTCATATATATATATATATATATATATATATATATATATATCCGAATATATGTATATATATATACTTTATTATTATTAAATATATTTGACAAACTTAATTATCACATAATTAAAATGTCCAAATATAAATGTTTATTTATATATGTGTTTGTGTATCTAATCATATTGTCACACAGTATAATATACACAATATATAAATAACGTGCATCTTTACTCCACTTAAATATTCTACACTTTCATATGTCTAATGTGTGTGACCCTATTCTAGGCATCTATAAAATTGGCCATAGTATCGATTAAATACTACAAGTGATAAACGGTATCTAGCATCACCCCCAAATTATAGATTAAAGCTCTTGGAACAATTCCTTCAACGACACATCCTATTTGTATAACCCTAATCCCTTTATCACAAATATCTTGATTTAACACAAGGTATGGGGTGTGTCACCTTGTTAAAGTTAAATCGATGGTTTACTGATTCTTCGATTGACTTGTGGGATTCAAATAACATATTTATTTGGGCATGGCCATGCACTTCCCAAGTCACATCAATCAGTGGGCCCTAAGATATTATACTTCATTAAAGAAGGGATAAATTCTGTCTACGTCATTCACATCTTCGCTTGAGTTTCATTGCATACCCAAAACATAACTGTACATCCACCAATATTTCAGATTTGCATAAATCATACCTCAAAGGATACAACTCAACTTACCAAAGAATGTAATGACTTCAAGTTAAAGGATAGTTATACTAATGGTCGCATGAGAATAATATTAACACTTTAACATATCCAATATGGTTGCCTACGTATAGATTAAGATAACACTTTATCTATAGCCTATGAGACGTAGCTATCTCATCTCATACGTATTAGTCTTGATATATTATGATGCCCTATTGTCATAATATTCGACTAAAGATATTTTAGACGTAGCCTCTATCTTTGTAACAGCCTCATAATTAAAACATCGTAGTTCTCATCTATGTTACTAGAGCGCCTACTCTATGGACTAAAGCTATGTTTAAATCACACAAGACAACTTAAACAATCTTTAGGGCCTATTGTTCTTGATATAATATAGATATGGAATCATAAGTTGGCCTCTAGGGCTCACTTATATTCAACAATCTCCCACTAGCTTAAGGCCAATTATGGTTTCCATGTATGCCTCATGCACGAAGTGTGACCCTCGTGTATAGGTTTTCCCAAAGACTAGGTCAATAGGTTAAGAGATTGTTTATCCTTTTCTATCTTGAAAATTTGATACTTTCACTTTTACGACTGTTCGTATAATGTAGTGAGATCTAATGACCTCTTGGTTTCTTGGTGTAGCTTCTTTAGCTCTTGCAGTAACCCTATCATTGTCAGTACAACAAGATATTGGTTTCTAATGCTGGGAGCAATGCTATCCTTTTGAAAAACCAAAACATCTTCCTCTTTGATACTTCCAAAGTTGCAAATTTATCTTACTTATATGCGGATGACACCATGTCAAAACTTGTCAATATATATTTTGTTAATTTCAACCTACCTTATGGTTGTTCTAAACGAGCTATTTTGTGTGTAACATTCACACTTAAGCCATTTTAGAAAACCATACTCTTTTGTCTCTTCTTAAGAATCAAAAGTTAACTTTTACCAAAAGTTCCTTTTAGAATGAATCAAGTCCATATCTCATGGTACTCCATAGAACTTCCATGCGGTCCTTTTACATAGTGAGTCTCCAAAAAGGCTTTACCTTGAGATTCATGCAAGTCTCAAAAACTTCCATATATGTACTGGTCTTAGATTATTCCTAGTTCTTTGATCCATCTATATGGATTCTTTAGTCTTGAGCACATAACTACTATTTTGCATTCATGACTAGTAAGTTTTTAATTTATTTTTTCAATGATATGCAACATACTTATGTGCTCCCACTAGTCTTCAATAATATTTTTATCCTAGACATATAAGTGCTATAACTGGTTATAGATAATTCGAAACCCTTCTCTTATCCTTGATAGACTCGTCCATAATAAGTGTTTAAAGTGTCTTCATTCATATGAGACTTACTTTCATTACTTGTTATTTAAGGAAGGAATCGTTTTGGAACAGTTTCCAAGTACTCTTTCCTTTTAGAGTCTACAATGATCAATTTAGTGCTTAAGGTTCAGTAGTATTTGGCAAGGTTACATAATCCTCTTTATTATATTAACTATTTTAGTCTCGTTATCTAGATAACGTTTGAGGGAACGTCAATTTCATGATCGTATCACTTTTGTCTTTCCTATTATGTAACTTTGGCATTAATATCACTTGATCTTTATTAAGTGTGCTTTATTAATGCTAATGGCAAGTTTAAATTTCTAAAATTTAAATAGAAAGGGTCTTGGTTATAACCTTTATAAAGATATCCTTATATCTCTAAGTGGCTATCACTTTATTCATAATTTTGTGACAAACTTATTAACTGATTAATATTTGCACTTTGTAGCCTTGGTATAGTTGTTGTATTTGCTTGTGAGGCAAAATATTTGATCATATGAAATACCTCTATAAATGGAGCAAGAATTTGTCCTTTATTGAAATAACCAATAGTACTTAAAACAATAAGTAAACATCAATTCAAAATTGAAAAACTGATCAAATACTAAAGCTTAAACTAATGCGCCACTGAGCTGCAACCCTTGCATCTTCTAGATCAGCATTCCTACTACTACTTCTCTTCATTTCCTGCAACGGTTTGCAATAGTATAAGTATCGAGTACTTTTGAAGAGATTGTAGATTAGTTCAAGTCTTTACAACAATTGTACCTGAAGCAGAAGCTTCACCCCTTTTCTTGGTTGCCAAATACTGCTTGCAATTCCTCTTCTAGTGGCCAACTTCACCACAGTGATGACAAATGGAATCTTTAGCCACTCCACCTTTAAGCTTGAGCTTGGAAGAATTGGACTTTGGCTCGGTGTTACCCTTTCCTTTAGGCCCATTCTTCTTTTCCTTTTTGAACTTCTTCTTGCCTTTTCCTCCTTGAACTAGAAGGACAGAATTCCCCTTTCCTTTCGTCAAGCTTTCTTCAGCAGTTTGCAGCATCTTCAAAAGTTCTGGCAGTTGTTTATCGAGTTCGTGCATCTCGTAATTAACCACAAACTGCTTGTACAACTCTGGCAGCGATTGCAAAATCAGATCAGTTGCAAGTTCAGCCCTTAGTTCGAAACCCAATTTCTCAAGAGAGCTTTGGAGATTTGGAATCTCTCATGCCTAGCTTGTCCTTGGTAGAGCTGTCTTAGGTGTATGATCATATCGTACGCCTTCAAACTCTCGTGATGTTTCTGAAGGTCAGAAGTCATCGTAGCCAACATGAGACATGCCACCTGATTGTCATCATCAACATGCTTCTCATAAGTATCCTTGATTGCTCTAGAAGCATTAGCGGCTAGAACATGTGGCATGGCTCGTTCGAGCACATATTCTTTCTTCTCAAGTCGAAGAACGATAACGAGGTTTCTTTTCCAGTCTAAGAAGTTAGAGCCGGTCAACTTATCTTTGTCGAGGATCGAGCAAAGAGTGAGGTTATGGTTGTTATTAGACATCTACATATAATTTGCAAGATAGTTAATATCAAGAATCTATGTAATTAGCTAGGTCTTTAACTAATAACTCTCCCACTATTTTAACAAATCAACTACCCTCAAGTACGTAACCTGTTGATTAGAGACATCTCCTAAAGAGAAATCTTAGTGATTAGAGACTTCTCCTGTTGATTAGAGACTTCTCCTATAGTTGTGCTTTGCATCTTGCCCTAAGTTAAACTATTTCAGGTAGGAACTATTTCCAATTGTAACATTTTACAACTCTAGATTAGATGAATTTGATTTTATTTATTAACCTAACCATGTGCCTCTAAGTTATTCATCTTTTTACCTTAACCTAGTTAAGTTCAACCCGGGGCGTACTGTAACGCCCCAACACATACCCTAGAATTATTAATGAATAAATAATCAATTAATCACAATTGTTTTGATTAAAATAAATTATTGTTGGGATTTGGGCCGATATGAAATTTGTTTTGATATCCAATATCTTAATCTGGATAACTCTCATGGAGATAAATCCAATATGTGGACTATTTGTGTAGTCTTGATTGGAAACCTGACTACAGACCCGAATCAAGAGTAAATAAAGAATTTGTTTAGAATGTAAATATTGAAATGATTTGTTGAAATAAATCATGAGAATAATTGATGTGAATTAAATGAGAGAACCTTTTATGAGGAAGGTCAATTAAACCAATTTTGACTCTGTTAAAGTCAAACACCCAAAAATGTGGTGTCGGAAAAAGTATTTCAACTAAATATAAAAATTATATCGTTGAATAGAGTTCGACTGTCCGATCGCAATGGTGCAAACGGAATTCAATTCGGAGAAAGTTGGACAAAAAAGTGTACCCCAACTGGGACCAAATTAGTCCCAATCAGGGAACTAATCATGAAACGGCGCCATGTTCCCTTCCTGTGCAATCAGTCGATCCCAATTACGTAGAAGCAATAGGAGTTGGCTTCTTCCCTTCTTCTCCACTATATAAACAAACACAACTCCTTTCATTCTTCACCAAAACAATTCAATTTTGCTTCTATATTGTTCTTTGCTGAGAGAGGAGTGCCCTGGTGTTGTCACTTTTGTGTGAGGTCGCTGGAGCAGAGAGTATTCGTCGCCGGAAGTTTCGCCGGAAAATTCTCAAAACCTTCAATAAGCTTCGAGGTAAGCCCGTAGATATATCTACTGACTAGAATGTTCATATAGATCGTTTCTACGTTCATAAACGGTCGTTTGGTTGAGTTTTGTGTTTGACATGCTTGAAGAACCAAGAATCATAAACCATGAAATTGATGTTAAAACTATGAATTAATGATTCCAAAATGATCCATGAACCTTGGAGAACATCTCTATATAGTTTCGTTGAAGTTCGGTAACTAAAAACGGTATTTTCGAAATTGGACCCGAACGAAGAAGAAGATGAACAGTAACCAAAAACCAGTCTGTCTGGATCGATCCTCTGGGACTATTTTCTCTACATATGGATCGATCCAGAGGGCTGGATCGATCCCCCGAAGTTCTGATCCGAAAATTTGTCCGAAATTGCTATTTTTGAGCTCTAAAATCCTATTTTTGATACCAATTGATTATAATTATTTTAAGGATGATTCATAACAATAAAAATGAAGTTTTTAACAAATAAAAATGTTATGTGATGCATGACGTTATGTTCGGGTGTTAACACTCAAAACTAGACCGCTATTTGTTATCAATTGATGTGTAGATTGATGATTATGATGAATGATTATTATGGGTGATGATGAATGATGAACTTACTGATTAAAATTATTATTTATGATTGAACCATGAGTAAAATGAATATATTGATAATTATTAAACGATTTGTATTGTTAACGGTATCTAGAAGAACTCTAAGATATACCCATTAGTTAATTGATGTTAAGGCTATCTAGAAGACATCTAGAATAGATCTTGTATTAGAATAGACTTATGAAAACATGAATATTTGATGAATTAGATAAAAATGTATAAACGGGATTCGTAGACCAAACTAGAGGATTACTCGTTTGGGAATGTCTGATCCAATGTTGATGAATCGCTATACTGTTGTTGCCTTAACCGACTACGGTTAAGTGTCCAAATCGTTTGTCTTAAACTAGTGATAGTTTAAGTGTCTGATTGCCTTAACTGACTACAGTTAAGTGTCCGAAATCAATTGCCTTAAACTAATGATAGTTTAAGTGTCTGATTAATAATTGCCTTTTAAGAATGTGGTTATGGAAATTATGATTTGGCCTTAGACTAAGAATAGCTAAGAGCATTATTATGATTTGGCCTTAGACTAAGAATAGCTAAGAGCATTATTATGAT